TGTGATTTTCTGAAACGAATGCAAAATCGATGCAGCAAACTCCCCTGTAATGTCTGTGTCAGTGCTATTAGTTAGCCAACATGACAGGCATAATGCTGTCGCCTCTGGCCTAGCAATAATCATATTAATCGCCGGTGAGCAGATTCTAACAGATGAACGGGTCATTGCTTACAAACTCTGATAAGGTGGACACGCACACCAACGTAATTGTGTGTAGTTGTGGCCCGTTTAAACTTGTCTCTTTATCTAAATCCGGACCCGGATTTTTCGCACAATTAGCACAAGGCAGCGATTTGAAAAGATCGAAAATTGGCGGATGCGCCGGGTTGATGAATTAAGTTTTGATTTCGCTTTGATGTTTAAACTAGTTAAATGGAGGTGTGCGCTTAGGGGGTTTAAGTAATCAAGTTACATTGACCATAACGATTTAAATAGAGTTTAGATGGGTAATTTAGAAAGATGCGAAGAGTTTTCGATTTCGGGCGTCAGTTATCGATTTTAAAGCAATTAGCAAACAGTTTGTGTGCCGTTAAAGTGATGGGCAAATTGCTGAACATCCACTTGAAGAAAGTTTCACGATGATTTTGCATCTTCAAACAAGACGCTAATCCAGTAATGGGTCGGCACTAAGCGATGGACGAGAAGATTTATTTTTTTTAAGTTGCATGCTTACGAACTGGGATTAAATTTGAACTTTGATATAACCAGGACAATTTTGATTAAAAAAAATTAATACGAAAGTATTTTTTACTGTTATTTTTAATGTGTTGGAAGCACCGAATTCTCTAATAATTTAGAAATAAATTGCTTTTACATTTATGTCAAGATCGTCTTTCCGAGTAACTGATATTTGAAGTTTGTTCGAGTGCAGTCCCGACAATATTTTCCTTCGATTCTCACGATAAGTTTCTGAAACTTTAATCTTCTTTTTTTTTCTTTTCTGGACACTCAGATACGGTCAGGAAGATTTTAAACTTTTATCGACTCGGTGAGATTTCGTCTTTTTTTTTGCAATTACGTGGTTGCAAATTTATTTTTGATGGCTTCACTCCATTACGACGCTGATATTGTATCTATGTGGAAAATTTCTTCGGAGTAATATTTAATGGATTGTCGAGATTGATACAGTGAAACGACGTTATCACATTAAATCTCGCAAGGAGCAGACTGTATCGATGCTTGTTTAGTTGAAGAAGCCATCGAACGAGGAGTGGCCGATAAGAACGCCAATCCGAATATCGACCGAACACAATTAGGCACTGTTAGATTGCAATGAGTTATTTGAACCTTTGTAACTGGCAATTATTACGCAGTAAGAGCAAAGCATTTTTTACAGTCTTTGTAGCTTGTAGATATGATACTAATATATTCTGTTTTAACAGTGAACTGTTAAAGTTTTTGCGTCGCAAATTAATGGCAATTATACAGAGTGGTTATAAATGATTTTCATCTAGCCAGCTTTGGAATTTTTTTGCATGTAACTTTATTTGTGCCGATCTACTTTTTTGAAAGCTCTAGTTCTGTCATTAGTGTCACTTATTAATTAATAATAAATTGTTGTTAATTAAATTTTTATTGTTTCAACTAATTTCCAATAATAATTGATAATAATGTATACTTTGGAAAAAAACAAGTTTATAATTGAAGTCTATTTTCAAAGTAGACGCTTAGTAAACGGCAATTTTTTAATTTTGAGTTACAACAAGTAGGTACCCCTATTTTCGTAAGGCGGCATTTTTTATTTTACATGGAAAATTCACAGCTGGCTAGATGAAAATCATTTATAACCACTCTGTACTTTGACTATTCGTACTTTGTTTTCTACTTTATTGCATGCTTTGCAAGAGGAAAATAAAGTCCGGTTTTTATTGTCGCGGTGTCCGGAAGAGTTCGGGGGGCGTTACTGCAGCTGCGATTTTCATCGAATCATGTAAATATTTGCGGCGAAAATATGGAGATGTTTTTCTTTTTGAATACATGGTTTCGGCGTTTTCTATGTAAATAATACTCGAGTCCCTGGGCTGATTTTTCCCGAGTAGAAGGAAAACACAATTAATATTAGTGCACTCTGGGAGTCGTTAAATACCATTGACAGTTTGATTTGGTCGGCTGCTATGAGTGTATATAACCCAATTATCGTTCGGGTGGAACAATGGGTCACAAGTGTCGAGTCGCCCCTCGAATTTCCATAGAGGACGATCGTCGCATTTATTATCTGCTTGTGTGCGAACGATGTAATTTCGGGATTTTTTATAGCTCGTGTTTGCAAAAAAAATTGAGTCATGTGTAAATTAATTTGAATTTTGCTGCAATGTTTACTTTGTAACGTGAACGTGATGATTACCGCGGATCCTGTCTCTAATGGAATTACTGTTGAAAATGTCCGTTGACGAAATGTGCGAACTAGACAGTTTATTAGAAGCTTGCTTAAACAAATTTAAATTAAACGGAGTTTAAATGCGGCTTTTTAACGATTTTGACATGATTTTGATGATTTAATTAATAACTGAATGTACAAACGAATGTGTCATTTAATTTGAATTAAATGTAATTTGATGTGTTGTGATGGCGTTTTATTACATTTTTTATAATGTGCTGTATGAAGAATTATGCGATAAAAGCTTTCTCGTAAAAGAAATAGCGCCTTAACATAAATACGCCTACTAAGGCTAAAAAGCACGTTCATTTCAAAATCGGATTTGATTCGCTCCACTGCCCTTTGTTACTTAATGCACATTTATTAAAAGAGTCTTCACATTTTCTCTCCGATATCTTAAAGTAGTTTTTAATGAATGTGAGGTTTCTTTACCTTTCTAGACAGGATTGAATTTAAATTGAATTTTATCGATTGGTTTCAATTTCAACACTAATATTAATTTAATTAGATTGCGTTATTGGGTTCAAACTCCTACAATCAATATGTTTGTTATGGATTTAATTAATCTACTTATTGGACCTAATTGTATTTGTTTGTACTCAAAACGTTTGCGACTTAATAAGTAATTAGCAATTGCCACAAAATTAAATAAATTTATAAACAAATTTTGTGTTTTATTTATCCAACTGAATATCGAGGATCTCTCGTATGTAACAAGGGTCTACATTTTTTACCAGCTTTAAACATCGGGTTTTATCAGATAAATTTTTTATTTCGTGCAAAATTTCTTTTTGTCGCAATGGATCCAATTTTACAATTTCTCAAATGTTTGAACCCGAAGTCAGCCAATTAACTAACTAGAGAACTTTGTTGTTGAGAGTAACAATTATTACAATTTAGCAAAACTTTTGTTTTGATGATTTCCTACTTCCTGTTCGGAAGTTTGAATTGAGACGTCATAAAAAAGTATAGATCCGGTCTAAAAGGCGATGATGTTGTTCGGTACGTCGGTCTCAGCGTCTGAACCGATTCATCATTGTGATTTATGAATCGGCCACTCGGACGTGTGTCATCTGTTCGAAGGGGGCCTCAGATGACATCAATGCCGGACCTGTCGACCTCTTGACGTCAATCAACGACAGAATCACGAATTGGCGCATCCACCAAAATCGTTTCGGAAAAGCTCAGACATCCGCAATGCAGCGAGAAGCGAAAGATGATTTCTAATTAAATTCACACTTCAATTAGTTCGACGACGAATAATTAAAAAAGAAGTCCCAATTAATTTGCCTCGGAAATGTATAAAAGTTCTTTAAGATCGAGAAGAGCTTTTAAACGATTCCGTTTTTATTGTGAGAGGATTACGACGAATTCGTCAAAGAGGGATTTTTACCTAAACTCTTTTTTCTTTCGTTTTCTCGACCGTCGAAAACTCGGATTGAGTCATGGACAATCGCACGTGAAATTAATCGCTGCTCTAAATTACAACAAATAATCGAGAAATAAGTGGTCGTCTGAAACACTCGTAGCCGGAAATTGCCGTTTAAAATTCCCCGATTGCAATTAGTATCACCGCTGCAACGATTTATCGTTCGCAATAAAGATACCTCTACGATCGGTTTAACAAAAATTTATCAAAACTTTTTAATACTCATCCCGGATTTTGACGAAGCGAGTATTTAACAGCGACAAACTCGCTATTAGAACGGGATTTACTGAGTCAGCGTTCCTGTAATGGAACACACACATCAAGAACACTGCAAATGTAGGTTAACCCGTCTGAGGAGTTTACAATTTTGCCCGGAGGTGAACTGTCATCTCGCAGACGGGATTTATGAATCGAAAAATATGCTGCGTCAATCAGGACTTGGATTGTGATTGAGCAAAAACAAATTTTAGAATAAAAGCGACTCAGGGTTCAGAACGAAAACTATGTCGTGCATTTTCAAAGTAAAATAGGAATAGTCTACAAAATATTTATCACTATTTGAGTTATTTTTGCTTCAACCCAATTTTTAAATATTCTAATCAAACTGTTCTTGTTTTACACTGATGAAACACAGTTCTTTTACTTTGATAAAAATCGTTAAACCTTATTTGGTTTTTTATTTCAACGTTCATTAGTTTTGACGAACTTTTTAAAAATTTGTAAAATAATTTTTACTACTTTCGATACTTTTTTTTTCTAGGGACATAAAGTACTCGTCACTAAGACAGAGAAGAAAACTGAATTTACCTCAACTGAGAAATATGATCAAAATTAGTTTTTCTGAAACAATGTGCACAATCCTCGCGCGTGCTTCGGCATGGAACATGTTTTATCAATTGGACAAAAGATATTAATTTCCTCGCTTAATTATTTCGTTTATTTGTCCGTGAGCGGTAAATAATTTTTGCCGTCCTTAGGTTGTAGATGAATCACTCATGTTTCATTGATTTTGTTTAATTTTTTTCCGTTTCATGCGACGGTTTATTTCATTTTATTCGTCGGCAAATGCAAATTAGAAATTCGCGGTTTGCCCTCAAGCCGTAGGAATGCGGAGAAGCAGCAACATCTCGCGATATGAGATCGTTGGTGGTGTATTTCTGCTGATAGAGAAACATGTTTTTTTTTCTATTGCAGGCTGAAATATGGAGCGTCTTCATAGCGATCCTACGAAAGAGCGTTCGCAATTTACAAGCTTGCACAGATGTCGGTCTTATAGAACATGTGCTGAAGAGGTTGCGGAATGCGGACGTTGTCGTTGCAGGTAATTTATTAGAGGCGAAGAGAGAACGGAAGAGCCGTAAATTGGATGTCTCATGTGTTTGTTTTCAGATCTTTTAATCGAAATGCTGGGCGTTTTGGCCAGTTACAGTATTACAGTGAAAGAGCTGAAATTGTTGTTCGGTGCCATGAAAGCCATTAACGGCAAATGGGTGAGTACTTTTATGTTAAAACAGCGATGTTTTTATAACAGTATTTGTTTTATAGCCTCGTCATTCGGCCAAGTTGTTAAACGTACTCAGACAGATGCCCCAGAGGACGGGACCGGACGTCTTCTTCAGTTTTCCGGGACGGAAGGGATCGGTAAAGATTACAATAATTTTTTTTATGTCTGTTGTTTCGTCTTTCGAGAAAATAACTCGAGACTTTATTATATCATGGCAAAGTGAAATAAAACAGGTAATAAACTGCTCGGAAATATATAGCCTGTTTCTTCGAGAGAGTGGCTTTTAAATAACGAAGACGTTTAGTAATTAAACTCAATTTAACGAACTATCATCAACTTGGAAATGTCTTTATTTTTAAAGAAAAATTGAAACCGGAAGCAGTTTCAGCGTAAATTAATAAAGAGACTTAAAACAGCATCAAAAGAATTTCCATGAATTCGGAGCGCATATTACAGTTTTCATCAAATTAATAAGACTCGAGTTTTATTTTTGTTTATATACTTCTCACGACACGTTAAAATGCTAACTTTGTGGGAGTTTAAAAAATATAAGAGCTTGAAGGAGATTTCTTGGGATATTATGCCCGGCGCATCCACCATTTTTGCAAAATAAATGAACATTTTATTTTTATTCGCTGTTTTTTTTTATAAATAATTGTTATATGCTGAATATTAATGAAAGAGCGTTTTTCCTGAAGATTTGACACGTTTTTAGGACAAATTATTTAGATATTCTATGAGAGGTTTTTAAAGGAAGCAGTAAATGCGAAATAAAAGTTTCTTTATTATGGACGAGGAGTTGCTCGTCTTAGTTTGAAACATCAGAAGAACTTTTTTTTTTTTTTTCTTAAATGGGTGGCTTTAGTTTGACAGGTTTCAAAGCGTCGATCGTGCAAGCATTGTCTGTTTCTAAAACTCTTGGTAATTCAGTTTATTCTCAGGCCGTCGTCCTGCCGCCTCTGGCGAAGTGGCCGTACGAAAGCGGTTTCACGTTCACGACGTGGTTTCGTCTCGATCCCATAAACTCCGTCAACATCGAAAGGGAGAAACCGTATTTGTATTGGTGAGCGGTTTCCTTCGGGTCGCATTTCCCCATTGTAACATTGAATAATTTCAGTTTTAAAACCAGCAAAGGTGTTGGTTATACCGCGCATTTTGTCGGCAATTGTCTCGTTTTAACGTCGATGAAAATCAAAGGAAAGGGCTTCCAGCACTGCGTCAAATACGAATTTCAACCGAGAAAGGTATGAAAGGGCCGCTTATCTACCGGTAATCATTGTCGGTTTCAGTGGTACATGTTGGCTGTTGTTTATATTTACAATCGTTGGACGAAGAGTGAAATTAAGTGCTTGGTTAACGGGCAGTTGGCTTCCAGTACGGAAATGGCGTGGTTTGTGTCGACCAACGACGTAAGTTGATCGTTTACAAGGTAAAAAAGTGCGTTTTTGTGCACCGGTTGTTTTGCAGCCTTTCGATAAGTGTTACATAGGAGCGACACCGGAGTTGGACGAGGAAAGGGTGTTTTGCGGTCAAATGTCGGCGATTTATCTCTTCAGCGAGGCTTTAACCACGCATCAAATTTGCGCAATGCACCGATTAGGGCCCGGATATAAAGTGAGTATGACGTCGGTACAATTCGTAATTGTTAATAATAACACGCTTTCAGAGCCAGTTTCGGTTTGATAATGAGTGTAATATTAATTTACCCGACAATCATAAAAGGGTGAGTGATAATACCAGTGAGTCCAACTCTAGCATGACTGCATCAGATGCACGATCCGTAAGCATTTTTTTTTTCTTTTTTTTTTGCACATTTTAGCCGAGCTCTAAACGACGCGTCTGAAATTTTTCTGTTATTATTTTTTTGAGCTTGGTAGAGTCGAGCATGAGTTTAGAGTTAGGTGTTTTCGTTTTTGCATTTAGATTAAGGATAGCTGGTTCTGTGATAGACGTCCGGAATAAATTTCTAGGTTTTGTATGATGGAAAACTGTCAAGCGCCATCGTTTTCATGTACAATCCAGTAGCTACGGATAGTCAACTTTGTCTACAATCCGCTCCTAAGGGAAATATATCTTATTTCGTCCACACCCCCCACGCTCTCATGTTGCAAGTATGGTAACAATCTACGCGATGAAACAATTTTTTTCACGTGATTTTCTAGGACGTGAAAGCTGTGATAACACATTCCATCCACAGTACATTGAATTCGATCGGCGGTATCCAAGTGTTGTTTCCTCTGTTTTCTCAACTGGACTTGCCTTATGAAACGAACGGATCGTCCGATTCCAAAAGAGATCCCACTTTGTGGTAATGAAGTGTTTAATTTTGAAACGTTTGGTTCTAAGAGAAAGTTTTTCACAGCTCAAAGCTTCTGGGTTTCATATGCGAATTAGTAGAGACTTCACAAACTGTCCAACAACATATGATACAAAATAGAGGCTTTTTAGTCATCAGTTTTATGCTACAAAGGTCTTCGCGGGAACATCTCACTTTGGACGTCTTAGGATCGTTTCTCAGTCTCACTAAATACCTCGTCACCTGTCTCAGTGCCAACAGCGAACTTCTACTCAAACAGGTAAAAATTATAACAAATTCAAGTCATTACAAAATAGAAGATAAATTAAACGAAAATGTGTCAATTTTACAGGAATTTTCTTCTTTGATGCATGATTTTTTGTAGTTATAATTGGCATAGTTAACATTTGCTTCAAATTGCTGTAAAATTGTTTACAGCAATTTGATTTTAGCATGTTTTGTAAGAAAAACTAATGGTTTGCGCAACATCTTTTTTACTAACCAGTACTTATCCAAGCATGTTGTATTTCGTTGTTTGCTTCTTATGGTGTTTTTCTTTGATTTAATTTATTTTAAAGTAAAACGATGTGAATGGGTAAGTACCGGGAGCAGTTTAATCAATTTTGATTTAGTTGTTTTGCTTCTCGTTCCTCACCTGGCAGCTTCTCGATCACGTACTCTTCAATCCGGCTTTATGGGTCCACACCAATCCGATGGTTCAAGCAAGACTGTATAGTTACTTATCGTCGGAATTTCTCTCAGACACACAGATCTATTCAAACGTGCGACGCGTTTCGACAGTACTTCAAACAATACATACTTTGAAGTATTATTATTGGGTTGTGAATCCTCGTGCGAAGAGTGGAATTACGCCGAAAGGTTTAGGTAATTGTTATTTTGTTAAAGTAGTTCGAAAAGTAATCTTTGTGTTTAGATGGGCCACGTCCTGATAACAAAGAGATCCACAGTATAAGACAGTTTATTTTGTTATTTTTGAAACAACTGATAATGATCGGAAATGGTGTGAAAGACGACGAACTACAAAGTATTTTGAATTATCTAACGACGATGCATGAAAATGAGAACCTTCACGACGTTCTTCAGATGTTGATCGGTTTGATGTCTGAACACCCGTCATCGATGGTTCCCGCCTTCGATGCTAAACACGGCGTTCGTACAATCTTCAAACTTCTCGCGTCTGAAAGTCAGTTGATTAGACTGCAAGCGTTGAAATTGTTGGGATTTTTCTTGAGTCGAAGCACTCATAAAAGAAAATACGACGTTATGAGTCCGCACAATTTGTACACGTTGCTCTCCGAACGACTGTTATTAAACGAGGACGTCCTCACTATACCGACTTACAATGTTTTATACGAGATTATGACGGAACACATCAGCCAACAGATTCTTTACACGAGACATCCGGAACCGGAATCGCACTTCCGGCTCGAAAATCCCAGTAAGTAGACGAAATTAACTTGCCGCGAGCTCGGGACCAAATTGAATAACTAAACGAAATAAGGAGCGAGGGAGATTGTCTAGCTAAAACAATTCATACACTGAAAGGGCACTCTAAAATGAGCTTTTGGTGAATTTTTCCAATGAGACTGAATTCAATTGAAATTTCGCAGCTTATTATTAAACTGAGATTTCAGTTTTTGAATTCAATACAAATTATTTTTTAACTCCATTTTCTTACAAAATAATAGTACATTACAAGCTAGATGGTAAATATGGCACTATTACCCCGGGTGCTTATGTATACGATCGAGAGGCGCCAGCCTCGAGGTCGGATAAAGCATAAGGGGTAATGCCATTACCACCGAGGTTTGTGTACTATTTTTTTATTCACAATCACTTTATTTTCAATCAAAAATTTGAGTAAAATAAAATTCTAACAAAGTTAAGGTCTAAACGTGGTAAGCCATCCAAATGGCGTTTGATTTTTGACATTTCTGTAATGTCAAAGAAAATATTGAAATAATGATTAAAATCGTCGAAATGGAGCATTGTACTCCTCCAGAAGTAAGAGAAACAGCTACAAAAGCATTGAATACTAATTTAGCAAAATATTATGCGTAACTTGACACTTTGAAAGAAAAAAATTCCGGGTATTTTTGTAATTTTAATGTTGGCTATTCTGCATATTACCGCCCAAGAGAAGTAATATTATTACTCCTCGTCAGATTTAATGATGTGTTGCCCAACCTTTAAAAGGTTAGTAATCGGCATATTACATTAGTGATTGTGAATAAAAATATTTTTTCCATTCTTATTCAAATTTTTATTGCACTCGTAAAACTCGAAACCTGTTGCATTTACATTTTTTTTTTTTTAGTGATACTAAAAGTGGTGGCGACCTTGATCCGCCAATCCAAACAAACCGAGCATCTTCTCGAAGTCAAGAAAATGTTTCTCTCTGATATGACTCTTCTCTGCAATAACAACCGAGAGAATCGGAGGACGGTCTTGCAAATGTCTGTATGGCAAGAATGGCTTATCGCAATGGCATACATTCATCCGAAAAACGCCGAAGAACAGAAACTCTCAGATATGGTGTATTCTCTTTTCCGGATGTTGCTTCACCATGCTATCAAATACGAATATGGCGGATGGCGAGTTTGGGTTGACACTCTTGCTATAGTACACTCGAAAGTATGTGTAATTACTTAATTTTATTTTTTTTAATTATGTTTTTGTAGGTGTCTTATGAAGAGTTTAAATTACAATTTGCCGAAATGTACAAACATTATGAACGTCACAGAGCTGACAACATTACGGATCCTTTGGTGCGTCAGCAACATCCCATCAGTACGATCTCGGGATGGGATCAACAGACTCAAGTTTCGAACGGTTGTCACTCTGAAGAGTGGCATAATTCGCATCCCTTACAAGAAATCGAACCGGAAACTGACAGGTCTGAACCTGTCTGCAGTTGTGATTATAATTCCACAATGTCGGAAGGAAGTCCGGCTTCCTATCTCGCCAAACATGAAGACAGTGAAGGCGTGTCGTTGGATTCGAGAACCAGCGATTTGTATAGCGACGTCAAGATAGGGAAAGAGTCGCCGTTTTCGCAAGATTCGCCCATTAAGAGTCAAGTGGCGGAGGATACACCGGAATCGGAAGTCACTGAAGACTCTCCGGTATTTGTTTAATTTTTTGTAAACCGAAACATTAATTTTGTGTTTTTTAGGTTTGTAACGGTATCCACAATGAGAGTAGTCCCAGTTTTGGTAGCCCGACTCGCAATTGCGAAGAGGCAGTGAAAAATGAAATAATTGAGGAGATAGTACAGGAAATCTTGAGTAATTCTGAAAAATTGCTCGAGGAGCGTGACGTGGAGTCGTTCTCACCAGTGGTGCACGACGAAGAGATTGTCCAAGCCGTGAACGAGGTTGTCGAAGTCGCGAAGGACATCCCGACTAGTCCCGAGAAGGAAATTCAAGATAGCGAGTCGGAAAGATACTTAACGCCGACCGAAGAAACGGAAAAAGTGTGTGAAGACACCGACAATAAAGCAAAATCGGACAATGAAAATTCTAAACTCGATAGTGTTAGTGATAAACCGACTGATAATAAAATATCCGAAGCTGTGCCAATCGTTGAAATTAGTGCTGTGTCTGTAGAATTAGAGCCGTCCAATGTTGAATCTAGTCTAGAAGCGAACATTCCGGAATCTAGTTGTAATGATGATTCTAAAAACGAAGGCACCGAAACTAGCGAAGTGCCTGCTGTTGAAAATATACCAACGATTTCACAAATCTGTGATCCTAGTCATTATACGTCGAGTGATGAAACGCAGGAAAATGCTCACGAGGAAACGAAACGGAGAGGGAGTCTGCCGAATGGACAACAAGACAGTGGGAAGGAAAACCAAGCTCAAAATTCGCCGCAAAAGAGACCGAGAAGTGCTTCGACTTCAACACAAGTCGACCCTAACCATTTTGGTAACTTTATCATTCACAATTTACAAAACGTTTAACCTTTTTTTCTAGATAATAAACGCTCAAAGTCGGGTTCTTCGTCGACAAGACCCATGTTTAGTCCCGGCCCAACACGTCCACCATTCCGCATTCCCGAATTCAAATGGTCTTACATTCACCAAAGACTACTTTCGGACGTACTTTTCTCACTCGAAACCGACATCCAAGTTTGGCGGAGTCACTCGACTAAGACGGTCCTGGATTTCGTCAACAGTAGCGAAAATGCGATATTTGTCGTAAATACGGTTCATCTCATCTCGCAACTGGCCGATAATTTGATTATTGCGTGTGGGGGACTTTTGCCACTTTTAGCCTCAGCTACTTCGCCTAATGTAAATTACATTAAACAGTTGAGAAATAGGGATAACTTTTCTTTTTCAGAGTGAGTTAGATGTGATTGAGCCGACTCAAGGCATGCCGATTGAAGTGGCCGTTTCGTTTTTACAAAGATTGGTAAATATGGCTGATGTATTAATTTTTGCCAGTTCTTTGAATTTCGGAGAATTGGAGGCGGAGAAAAATATGTCGAGTGGAGGGATACTGAGGCAGTGCTTGAGATTGGTGAGTTTGATGGTGAAAAATAGAGAGATATTTTGAAAATTGTGTATATAATTTATTTGTGGCATGATGTATATATGTTTATTGTGCGTGTGTGCGTTAGGTTTGCACTTGTGCAGTTCGGAACTGTTTGGAGTGTAAAGAAAGGAGCCGTCCGCACCACACAATTGCACCCACTTCACATAACGCTACTCACAAGGCAGCACATTTACAATCATTTATCCGGGGAGGACAAAACTCCCCGAAGGTGAGTTCAGCCCGCCAAATCCGATTTTACTTATACGAGGTACATACTATTTTTTTTTTTCAGACCGTTGCTGATAATTTATCACAATCGACTCCCGTCAAGGACCCGGAAAAGCTCTTGCAGGACATGGACGTGAACCGTCTTCGCGCTGTTATTTACAGAGACGTGGTGAGAACCTTCATCCAGGCATTAAAATTAGAACGAACTTAACGAAATTGTCTAATATTACCTTTTCCAGGAGGAGACCAAACAGGCACAGTTCCTCTCACTCGCCATCGTTTACTTCATCTCCGTGTTGATGGTGTCGAAATATCGCGATATTTTGGAGCCTCCCGTGTCGATTCGTGCTCCCAGTCCGGTTCCTGCTGTACGAAACAACGGAACATCGCATTCGGGGAGTCCTCAAGGTGAGTGGTTTGAGTTGGAATGTGAGATTGTTGAGCCAATCACCGACACGCATTTGTGCTAACGTGTTTCTTGTATTGTTCGCTTACTGGTGAGAATAGAAGGGAGTGCGAGGCCTCTCTTCCCTCAGTGGTCTCACCACGTCTATCCGCAATTCCTGCCGGGCACACATCCTAACGCCGTGCCTCATCACAATTACGTGAGGCATCGGCATTCCTACGTCAAACATCACCATAACCTTAATAATAACCACCATTTGCATCACCATAACCATAAAATTGACCACCGCTACCACAGAAATTCTATTGCCGGCCACCAAGGTAAATGGATGTCTAAGAAAATGTTTGTGTTTTTATCGGCACTGGCTAAACACTTTTTGCTTCTTTTTTGGCGCTTGTGCATGAATGCAAAAGTCAGTGCGAATGGTTTAAGTTTTAAAATGGTGGATTCGCCGGGGCGATGACTTTATTGTTTTTTTTTGGGTACAAAATATGCGTATTGTCACTGTTTATTTATGTGTTTTATTTACTTCAAGAATTTAGGTAACGCTTGACTGTTTTTTTTTTGCTTAATTAAATTAAAAATTTGAGACCAAGTCGAGTAAAATTTCTGATTCTTGTAGCTTCTCGTTCTGTGCACAACCAAACTCAGGAAGACAGCGATTATGACGTTATTACGGAATACGTCATGGAAGATAGCAATTCTGTGGTCCAAGAGAACGATCTTCATTCAGGTCCACCGTCAATTAAGGTATTTTTTCGTAAATTTGGGTATGGTTATGAATGGATTAGTTAGTTGGATGTTTTCTCTTTGATTTTCTATTTTTTTTTGTCTGAATGGATGTAATGGTGATTGGTGGATGTAAATGTTAATTTTAGTACGTACTAACTTTTGCTTTGCTGCGGCGTGCCTTTTAACAGGTTAACGCTAGACAGCGTCCTTCTCTTGGACATGGGTTCTCTGTAGATTATTCTTTGGATGGAATAAGGCATGCTCGAGGTCGTGACAATGCTCGTATTAAAAAGGTAATGCAATTTTAACCGCTTGAAAGAATTTTTCTAAAGCACCGGTCTTGGGTTTTTTATGATTCGAGGTGCACCTAGGGGATTTGCATGATTTTTTTTCGCAATTGCAATACTAGTGTGACACTAAACCGGCTTTTTGTAGAGTACTGATTCAGTCGAGGACATCAATTCGGTCAATTCATCTGAAACGAATAATGTAGGATCGAATAGCGAAATGACAATTGAAGACAATAAAGTCAACAATGATGAAAACTGGACCGATATCAATCTAAACGAAGATGGCGAATCGAAAGAAGACACGCGGAATCTTCAAAACATTACCGAAATGATCGACATTGAAGGTAATATCGCTCCGGAACGCGGCGAGAAACACCACCCGGAAATTTCAGTGGTTCGAGTCCCGGATAACGTCATCCAAACTCCGGCCCAAATCCGGCCAGATGATCTTCCCGTCAGCAATTTAGTAGATCACATCTCTGTACCCACGCCTTCGAGAGAAGCCTCTCTCACGCAAAAACTAGAGATGGCGCTTGGCTCGGTTTGTCCACTCTTGAGGGAAATCATGGTCGATTTTGCTCCTTTTCTTTCGAAAACTCTGGTCGGCTCTCACGGCCAGGAACTCCTAATGGAAGGCAAAGGACTCACGACTTTTAAGAACAGTAACTCCGTCGTAGAGTTAGTAATGTTGCTTTGCTCGCAAGAATGGCAAAACTCGTTACAGAAACATGCCGGTTTGGCTTTCATCGAATTGATAAACGAGGGCCGTTTGTTGTCGCATGCGATGAAGGATCATATCGTGAGGGTGGCAAACGAGGCTGAGTTTATTTTGAATCGGATGCGAGCCGACGATGTGCTCAAACATGCCGATTTTGAGGTATTTTAAATGTTTTAGTTGAATTTTTTCTATTGTGTTTTTTTAGTCGCAATGCGCGCAGACTTTAATGGAACGGAAGGAAGAAGAACGAATGTGTGATCATTTGATAACAGCGGCAAGACGTCGCGATAATGTCATAGCTAGTCGGTTGTTGGAAAAAATCCGGAATATTTTATCAAACAAGCACGGAGCTTGGGGCTATATGGATCCAGCGGCGGCTAAGTATGTCGATAAGATATGACTTGGGTTTGTTACAAAGTCGGTTTTAGGTTAAGTGAGTTTTGGAAGTTGGACGCTTGGGAGGATGATGCTAGAAGGAGGAAAAGATTTGTTCATAATCCGTTGGGAACGACGCATCCGGAGGCGAGTCTCAAGGCGGCGATCGAGCATGGGGCGCCCGAGGATGCCATCTTGCAAGTAAGTTACTGATTCAATAGAAAGTTATGGAACTTTTTTTATTTTAAATATTTTTCAAAGCTGTTATCTAATGAAGTTTCTTATGTGATTATGTTTATTTAGATATCAAAGTTATTTCTTTGGAGTATGAAAAATCTACTACATTAATGTAAACGATGGAGAAGATTATTTTCTTGCTTATTTCTTGTATTCTGTTAATTAAAAATTAAATTAAGTTTGAATTCTATTAAAGCAACACGAACTCATACATCATCTCAATAATTAAATTTTAATAAACATCACCTGAGAAAGTCTAAAATGGATATAAATTACAAACTTCTATACTTGATAATTGCAAGAACTGTGATATAAAAAATTCAAAATAAAAATTACATTAAAATTTAGAGCTTTTATACAATACAACATTTTATTCTTCGAATTATACTCAACAAGGCTTAAACTTGCTTTAAATCTGTTAAAAATAATTTGACGTTTCGTATTGAGAAATGCCAAACAGTTGTCAAAACTTCCTTACACGGGAGAAAAACCGTAAATTTTGACAGTGTCGAAGAATAAAAGTAATTTGTTTTTTGGTTTAAACAATTTTGTTTTCGAGTATAAACTTTATTTGAATTAATTTTATTGCAAATTTATTGTTTCAATATATATAAAAATATAAATAAAAATAACAATACGTGGATCGAAATTTTTATTTTTGACGGCTTAAATGACCAAAGTTGTGAAATAATCAGATGAAAATTTTTTGAAAAAAAAATTTTTTTTAACATTTCAGGTGCCTCACTCGCCCTCAAAAAATATTTTTTTGCGTTTTTGGATAATGTGGTATAAATTACCAAATGGTCAGATAAGTATTTCTCAATAAAAAATTTTTTGAACATCCTTTTTATTTTTGTCAGTTAAATGTTTATTTTTATCAAAATACTTACATTGATGTTTCAGTATATTTGTTGTCCTTAACATAACCTAATAAAATAAACAAGAATCAAAACAGTTTTATTGTTTGGGGCACCTACAGAAATGCCGCCTCCAGTTTTTATAAAGATACTTTTTAGACGTGAAAGAAGCATTTCCAAATAGGGCTGGAAAAAAACTTGTTTAAATTTTTTTTTTAGTATGTGGGGCACGTGAAGAACATAAACGTATTTTTTTTAATAATATTGAATTTAGCGGCATTTGCCAAGCAACTTAGCAAATAAAAAACTATAATTTCACTATGTTTTTTGATCCACCTTAATGAACAAGATCTTTTTTATCGTAAAAAGTGTCGCTTGTTAGATTTTAAAACATTCGCGAAGAACAACATCTTTGTGCTTTTTGGTTTGAATTATTGTTTGAGTCACTTTGTTTAGGCCCGGGAAGAGTTCCACGCCCATCTGGCGGCTACCAGAAACCAGCAACCGATCCAGCCCAACGATTTGATGGATGACAGTGAACTGTTGACCGACGATCGAGAATTAGATAACGATCTGACAGGTGGTGGTTTTTGATATAGTGGTGAATCGAGTTTCAATGTTCGTTTTCAGGCCCCGTCAATATCAGTACAAAGGCTAAATTAGTGGCCCCCGGTGTCGTGGCGCCCGGAATGGTGTCCATAACATCGACCGAACTCTATTTCGAAGTCGACGAGGAGGACGTCGAATTCAAGAAGATCGATACCGAGGTAAGTCCTCGTGACGTCTAATAATTATAAACAGATTAAGAAGGTTCGAAATTTAATTTGTGGTAATTAGGGATCGGTAGTCGATCGTTTCGGTAATCAATCTGCGTGAAAGGTAATAATTTTTAAAGGGGGGTCTTATTAATGGTAAAAAGCGTGTTTACATAAGGTTGGCGGTTGGACACGCCCATACAAAGCGTTGATTTATCGTTTTGGTGATGAATATACAACGTTGGGTATTTTCAGATTTCAATAAGCCGGACAAGACTAATCAGAGACGGCTCGTGGGGCGTGGAAACGTATTAGTATCGAAATTTTTTTGAGTCGTCGCTGATTTTGAATTGTTGCTTCACCCTGTATAAAGATCTCGCGATTGTTTTCGCCTCAGCGCCGGCATTAAACCCATCCCACGTCCAATGTTTTCGGATAATAAAAGTATCAAATAACTCACTCGAGCTCGAATATCTGCGAGTTTTTCGAAAGAATTTATGCCCAAATAAAACGATACGGACTGGTATCTGGCCGCAAAACAAACACACCAAATTTACATAACATTAACCGGCGATTATTTTTCGTTCTAGTGATGTTATAAAATCAATTTGAGTGTTGTTTTTTTTTTTTTGAGGAAAAAGGTAGGTGGCAGTGTAAATAAACAAAGAGATAAACCCCCGTGGTTACTTGTTGCATACTCGAAACGTGGTAAATCACCAGCCGACCGTTGTTTGCAAGGCACTGATTATAGGATTAGAGTTGTTGGATATTTATTACGAGACCTCTCATAAAGAAAGGAAAACGGCGATGGACGTTATCGCGCATATTAAACGTCCTGCGAAACGTCAACTTAAATAATTCCGCCCATTCACTAAGCGCCCCGTGGAACACACCTCGGAACAAATTGGTCGTACCTCCTTCACGTGTATTACATGGGAAAAATTAATGGAAAATGAGACAAAGTCGAATTAATTTTCCGGTGATAAAAGTTCGGCTACGAAACGATTGTGCTGCCTTTTACGGGCATGGAGGAGGTTTTCGTCATTTATCTCACTAATTGGACGGCATATTTTGATAAGGACCGCATTTATAATTGCAGTGCATAAGAAAAGACAGACAGTGACACATTTTTTGGAAAAAACCCTAAATCGAGCTGGTAGCTTTTCTAAAATTTTTGTAAATTATTTTTTTAATCATAAATCTCTAATTAACAGTAAGAAATGTTTTTTATTTATTTCAAAATTAAAATATTATTTTCAGTGAGGAATCCAATTTGTAATGGAATTTTAATTTATTGTTGTTCCGTTCCTGCGTTGTTTAATCTAGTACACTAGTTTACACGATTTTTATGCTATTGCTGAAGGTTATAATTTCTTATAGATTTTGAAGCAATGAGTTAAAAAGAATATTTAAAAAAGTTCACCACGTCACGTTTAAGAAATATAAAATTAACAAAAATAGAAAAACCGCCAAACAACAAATTAAAAATTAGTTATTTTACTTTGTTTTTTATTCTTTTTTGGATCAGTCTTCTTTATAACAGTTCAATGGTAATCGCTTAACATATTTTCATCCTAAAAACCTTTGTGTCGATCTTCGAACACCCTTCATATTTTGATGAAAACGCTCGCCCTGCTCCTCACTCATGCTGTCTAAATTTTTAGAAAAGAAGTCCAAATGCAAGTCAATGAAATGTAGTTTAAGACTCATTTAGACTCTAAAGGTGACAATTTGGAAATATTTCAGCAATAATTTGAGTTTTAAATAAATTTTAAATTGGAGGCATTTGTATAGAAAGCAGGAAAATTATCGTTCATAAAAAAAGGTGACTATTATTATCATAAAAATAATAATTTGATTTAATGGAATATTACACAAGTTATTATTTGTAAACTAGTGTTATTTTCTCGTATTAATCGGCATAATCACTGCGAGCCAAATCGAGAGAAAAAAGCTCAGTTTAATCTCGACATCCAGTTTTGCCTCTTGTGGCATAATAATGGTCGTCTTCCGTTCTGGTCTTTCAATTAAAACTAAAGTGAAACGAGTCGATTTTGTGGAATCCGTAATGGGTAATTGGCCGTATTCTGGTCGTTGTTTTCAGCCGTCGACGATTTATAAACTGGCTTCATGAATAATTGAATATTAAATACCATGATGCATGCGATCATGCGGCATGAATGCACCACCGCCACCGCCGCGTAAAAATGTTTAAACGCTCGTGTGCGAAATTATTTCATCTCTCGATGAGGTAAAAAAGCGTTTAAAAGCAGCGTCCGAAATTAATTGGTCGCGCGAGTGATGCATAGTTGGAGTGCACGAGATATGATTCGAATGAATATATCGGCGTTAATTAATGCTCGTCTTATTTTCAGGCATGTAAATTGCATGTTTGCTGAATAAATTTCGAATTACAAACGAGTACTTAATTCAAAACATAATTAATTATATACTATTTGTATTCCAAACATAAGTCGTGTTAACTTGTTTATGTCGTCGGGTTTTAACGCGCTCGTAATTTTAAACGACGCTCTTCATCATTTAATTGAGATTCGGGACCGTTTTTAGTTTAACCAAACACCAAAAAAATTCGCCAAATCGATAGTTTGGTTTTAATGAAGATGTCGATGTGTTGACCAAAGACAATTTACATAATTTAACGTAATTTAATGGCAAAATTGCACATGCAACATGAGTTTGACAGCTGACGCATGGCTGATTTATTATACCGGAGTCATATGCATACGAAAATCGACAAGCAATTATGCGAGACAAAATGGAATTTGGCGGTTCTGAAAAAATCACTCGTAAAACTTTTTCAATTCCTAAAATTATGAGAAAGCACTTGTTTTTAGAGTAATGTAACCACATAACAATTGCTTTAAATGTTTTCACTATACCAAGTTATAAGAACTACATAAGTGCAATAATATGTCTAATAAAATTGAAGAAAGATTTTTAAATGGAATCATTAAAGAAAAACCATTAAATTCCACAGCTACGAGGAACAAAATTTGGAAATGAGGTTTTTTCTCTAATGAATTATCTGATTTTATGAAGTCTACTCAAAAACTTAATTTGAAAAAGTTTTTACCTTTGATTCTATAAATAAATAATACAATAAGTTTTTCAATAAATAATACACTTGTTGAGGGACTTTTTAAAAGTGAAATGTTTATTTGGCCAAATTTGGAATTAATGGTTGAGTAAAAAAAATGAAGAGACTAAAAGATATTCCACTTCTCGTTTGTCCGCCTATCATCAAGGCAAAATTCCTCCCGCATACTTCGGGCTGAATTCTTCTCGACGTGCCTAACCACAAACCTTTTTTAAAATTATTTATAAACCACAACTACCTCTTCGTAGGTGTATAAGTCAATGACCATCATCAAATTAGTCGTCCCGGTCAATTATGACACGATTCTCTCCTATTTTCGGCTTTTTGCTCTTGATTTATGCTTTATTGGAGTCAGGTAAGCAATTTGGAGTGCCCGCATCATGGTCTTCTTCTCGGTCCGCGTCGATTTCAATTAGCGGTCACCGAACAAACCAAACAGCTCGAGGCGGTCCCCGCTAAACGATTATCGGTTATAATTTATAACATAATTATAGTGGTATTGTGACAGGGTGTTGCGAGATGCGTGGGACTTCGGTAGTCCCCGTCGAGACCACCGAGATGGTCCGCGGCTAATTCCAGTGATTATTACCCCGAGTAGTGATGGATGTTTGCGGTTATCACTCGAAACGGCGTTATTTACGACCCCGTGCATCCCTAACGGGTCATTATTGTTTCTTGGAGATTTTTAAAACAAACATGGGCGTGCTTGTGCCGAGATTAATTGAAAAGATGCGAATCGAAAACCTAAACAATCACCGATTAATGTTTATTATCTTCATCACTCGAGAAAAAAGCTCTCGAATTCCATTCCGTCACAGTTGCAATTAATGATAGGCCGAGTCCGAGCATTAATATGGCCGTCAGCGTGTGACTTTTTTCCTCGTTAAAATACTTGCTTGCAACCGAGGTGTTAAATACCGATCATTGATGGGACCATTGGGAAAAAACGCAAAAATCTGATTCTCGACGGGATTCGAGACCTAATAAAATTTAATGTACACACATAGACGTGACGATGTTTTTAAATTAAGGACAAAAAACCTACGTCATCGATCCGAGAATTTAACGATACTAAAATGGAAACGCTAACACGTCATAGAGAACGACACGCGATTGTCGGCGAGCTTTTATTAAAAGACCAAACCAAAAAATGGATTTCGGAAAGGGCACGCCCTGTGCATGGTAATCAGTTTTTAGCGTGTCAACGCGCACAAACATTTCTATTACTTATTTTTTAACTTGGCAGAAGAAAACATTTGTTAAATTAGAATGGCTTGCACATACACCGAAAAGAGAAAAAAATCTTAGTTTATTTTAAAAATTTTTGTAACTCTTATTTTCCCACAGATAATAGAAAAAAAAAATTTCAAAAAATGAGTACAGTTGACGCGTTAGAAGGTTGTATGAGCAGTAGATTTGCATGTTGTTTCATACGTGGAAACTTCAACATTTTCCAGTTGCTTTTACTGGGACAGTTTACAAAATCTTTAATTACGATGTAATTTTAATTTGTCAATCAATTTAAAAAAACGGAAAATAAAATTTAATTCAAAACTAAAGTTATCTGAATAAGTTTTCGGTTACTTTACATTGCCAAACATAAAATTAATCGCGAATTAAAATGTGATTGCAATTAAAAATGCGTTGTAAAAGGTACTTTTTGTTCAAAATGAAAATGTGAAATTTGTTTAAAAGAAAACTGTGTTTGAGGCTACGGCACTGTTTCTCGCAATTTCCTGGGCATACTTCGCCAACTTATTTTTTATTGTACTCAAAAATCACATTTACTCTTTGGGATAAAAAAATTTAAAAAAATAAAATACACTCGCCCTATGGCATCTTCTTCTATTAAATTTATTATTAAAGTAAATTTGAAATTTTAAAAGAATTTGAG